CAGGAATAAAGCTTCATTAAAACTAATTAAAAATGAACTTTTAGTTTACTTAAATCTTTGTTTGCCATGTTTAGAGGCTATTAATGTATTTAAGAGCAACAGCAATTTGTTACTGGCTGCCAGGTGTAACAAAAAATATGTTTTTAAAAACAAAAAATAAAATACTTTATTTTTATGCCGAGTACTTTTTTTTTAACCTTTTAATCGAGAAATACTTTATGTAAAGCCTGAAAAGGTGGCAACCCTAAATATGATTCATGTTATCCCACCTTCTGCTATGCACGTTCGACCCGAACACTGTACAAATCTTCTTTGTTTTCAATAAATTCAATTATAATCTAAAAACGGTAAATGTGATTTAAAAGTATTACCGCAAATGGTTTATTTACAATTATCAAAATTTTTAATTAGTTCGATGTGATTACACTATAACTGTACTTGCAAGAATTTGTAGTCTGCATTCCAGACAAGTCGTGAATCATTTTAACGTTACTTACAGTACTTTGCGTTGGAAAATAAACCAGTTCTAATATTTCCAAAATGTATACTGGTAAATAATTAAGCAATGTGTGTGAATTTCAACAAAAACAATTAGGCTAAATATCCATTTATAAAATAATTTACGACCATTAATATTTAAAATGTCAATGCTAATTACTGTAGTTAGTTTTTTCACTTATACACTAATACTTGTTGTTATATTCATGATGATTTTATTCTCGTCGATATTTTTACGGTCTTGGACGTATCTAAACTGGGAGTATCAACAATTTCTCTTAATCGCGGGGTAACCTCAAAGTTCCTTTTTTAGAGTGACATAATCTAACAAATGTGGAGTGTTTACCTTTATTGAAAAAAGTCCGTGATAAATTAAAAAAAATACCAGAAATTCTTTTATTTCTGTTTCCCAGTGTTGGGTTTAAACAAAGTTACGAGTCCGATCCTGGCGGGGTGCAAAAGACAGTTGCGGTAATAAAACGATTTGACTATATAGTTGGAACGTTTAAAATTGGCATAGTCCGCAATAAAACTGTCGCATTTACTTTCTTCTTTCAACTTACTAACTAGCCTAGAGCGGTTGCTAACCGAACGCCTGTTTTTACGCACGTCAGACGTTATATAGGAAATATCGTAAACATAGAAAAGTGATGTCAGGTAGGAATCGCAGCGAACACTAATAAAGAAAAAGGAATAACATTACACCAATTGATGTGTATCAGAAAGAGATGTAGACTAGCAGAATTCGAGCATGTTGCCAGAATGGGACTTTAAAGAATATTCTCAGGAATTTAGGGAAGCAAAGGCGCTTGTTTAAAGATATAATTCCAACTAGGGAGTTACGAAACCAACCCTGATCTTTGCGTAGATAAGCAACATTTAATCGTTACACTGTTTACTTATTTTTATTCAATTATCTCTTTTCACTTTCTCTGCATTACTCATGAAGCATTTCCTAATTTAACAAGGGCGAAAACGTAGCAAATGACTACAGTCCCAAGTGCAAACAAAAAAAAACGGTTGTCCGTAAAGTCGGTTTACTGACGATAGTTGAACGCGAACCGAGCGGCATGGCCTAGAGGTCTAGACCATTGCTTAGCATTCGGGAGGACGCCGGTTCGATTCCGGGTCCGTCTGCCTTGGTCCAAGTTTTTCTGTGGTTTCCTTGGATCACTTAGGCAAATGCTG